ATGCAGGATTTACAGTACTCGACTCATATCTAAGATTAATTTTGGAAATTCTAACCTACCTTTCTGAAAGTTTATCTGTCGTAACTCCCATTGAGCTTCACTTGCTCTTAGCACATGTAAAGTGATTAAAACAGAACACTTAATCACATTGATTATAAACATGTTTTAGTGTCTATTTCGCAGTGCCCCGTTTACGAATTGACAGGTTTGAATTTGCGTTTGAGCAACATGAAAATTCACTTAAAATTTAATTGTGAGATAGAGTGAGAAAGAGAAAGAAAGAGAGAGAGAGAGGGAAGTGAAAAAGGTGTGCAAGCAAGAGAGTCGGCAATTACGACACGAGACTAGAGCAATTTGCTTAGGGACAAAGCCCCGGACTCAACATGAGCGAATTTGCATGATGGTTTTTTTTAAATACCCTGTAAGGGATTGAGAATGGGCAAGATAAGCGCGAGCAACTGCATGTAAACATATTTTGCTGAGCGGAGCTGATCAAGTTATATCAGTTTGTTCTATTATTTTATCCAAACTCATGAATCTCGAGAATTACATAAACTAGACATTTTGAATTTGAAATATGAGTATATTTCAGTACACTGTCCATTTCAGCATAATCTATATGCGCAGGGTATCTCCCATTGCTTCGCTCCTAAGCACAACAAAACTATCTGATTTTTTGCTAGCATGTAATAAGTGATGTATAGAGAGAGAGAAATGGAAAAGGATTTGAGGCAATGCCAATGTTTAATGTCAGTCACGTAGCCAGGACACTTTGCGTGCAATTCACATTGCAAGCGCGCACTTTGCTACTTGCCACAGCCCTTGCCCCCCCTCTGCCATCCATATCCTTATTCGTGTCCTGGCATAACGGTCAGTTGATATGCAAAAAATGTTTCGTGCTTCAGCCAGGCAAAGATTTCACTTATTCCCTTTCACTTTGCATAGATTTAGCTCGCATTTTGCAGATCGAATCGGAATTAGAGTTGAAGTTCGAGTTGGAGTTGAATTTTATTGGCTCATCATTTACAGCAGTCGCTGTAATTGGCTGTAATTTGATAAGCCTGACTCAAATGACTCGATACCCATTTAATAGTTTCTCTCTCTCCCTCTCCCTCTCTCACTCACTCTTGCTTTCTCTGTTTCTCTTACTGAAAAACTTTTGCAACATCTTTACAAAAAGTTTGCGATAAACAAACGGCAGAAAGTGAGTATTAGAGCTATGCCTGAGCTACACTGCAAGAAATTACAATATTTAAATAGTAAAAAAAACTTAAAACATTTTAAAGTTCTCTCATATAAGGCGAATTCCAGATTAGTTATCGAATTCCATTTATTTACGAGGGCTGTAACCGATTTTATCAACTTTGAATATACATTTGTTAAATTAAATATTTTTCTATTAATTTTTATTGCATTACATTAACTTTCTTATGTTTTTAATCTAACTAAAATATGTATTTAATACAGATTTGTAGTATATTATTTATTATATAAATATTATATTTATTAAAAAAAAAAAATTAATTAAAATAATATTATTTTGAGAGAATTATTATTATTAATATTATTATTTTAAACTTTATTTTAATTTTATTTTTATTAAAAAAATTGTTTAAATAGTATTATTTTGAGCGAAACTCATATTAGTATTTTAAATTTTTTTTTTTTTTTTAAAGTTTATTTAAATAATATTGTTTTGAGAGAAACATAAATTATAAATATTTTATTTATTCATTTATTTTATTTTTTTTTTTTGTATTGTTATATTTATTAAATTTTATGAGTCCTCTTATTTTAGTAAACTCTCTATATTAGCTACTGCAGAATTTTCTCTGAGTGCAGCAGCTGCAGCAGCAGCAAAGGAAGTCAATGCCAAAGTGTTGACAGCTTGTTGTTGCGCACAGACACACGCACACACACACTCAAACACACACATGGCCTCTCACACTCACACACATGCAAGCTACCTAGCACACACTCGAGTGCAGCTGGAAAAGTTTTGGACAAGTCGAATGTATTGTATACAAATGCACTTTCAACGACTGCAAAGGTCCAAGACTAAAAAGCACTCTCACTCTCGCTAGCTCTCTCGGTCTCCCTCCCACTTCGCCTGTCTTGGCCAACTTTTGGTTTTCAATTGGAACTTTTGACTGACAAAAAAAGCAGTAGCAGAAGAAAGAAGAAGCAGAGAAGTCCACGTGCAAAAGTTTTTTGGGCACAAAGCAAAGCATCGCCAAAAGTTATGCTTGGGCATTATTAGAAATTGAATTAGATTGCGTTTTGCCATCCACACTATGCATGCAAATGCAAATGCACTGCCTGCCGGTGCGAACTGGCTCTATCTCTCTCTCTCTCTCACTCTCTCTCTTCTTGCAGCTGTCACAATCATACATAATCGAAAACTCATTGAATGGGCGCAGGCAGCAGGTCGATTGGCAGATCATAAGATGATGCTTCGTTTGGTCTAAACTTTGACTTCTCATTCGCTTCCTTAACATGTGTCCGCTACACACATGCACACACACACAGACAAACAATGATAAGATATAGACCCTGTACAAAGAGCATTGAGAACATAGAGATCAAAGTCAGAAAAAGATAATCGCAGAGGTAGAGAAAAAAGGTAAAAAATGCGAAGGAAAGGTGGAGACACATAGGCAGGGAGACTTTGAAAGAGAGGTAGAGAAAAATAAACAGCGAGAGAGAGAGAGAGAGAGATAGTTCATAATAATAATATTTACAGATATAATTTATATATTGATAATATTTACGTAAACATATAGAGACAGAGATAAAGTGAGAAGTCGAAGGAAAGAAAGAAAGAGTACAACAACGGATGAGGAGGGATAAAAGAATGAGATAAATAGTTGACTTTGAAATGTACTTTTATTTAATTAAATGAAATTACTAAGCAATTGAAGAACTGAGTCAAAGATATGACAAAATATTTATCTGAAGGCATTTTTCTGCTTAGACAATAGGAGCGAGAGAGACAGACGCTGAATATTTACATGCTGACATATTTTTTGCACATGCACAGGGCAAAGTTTTGTATTCGCAACTTTTCCGGAAAAGTGTCAGCTGGTTTTTCCATTGATGATTTTTGGCAATAACATTTGTGAATATGCTTCCAGTCGCAGTTATTCTCTGTCTTGCCTTTTTGCTGTCAAGTATTTCATCAAAAGTTTCAATCAAAAAGTTTGCCATAAACAGGAGACAGTCAGAAGATAGAAGGAAAGACAGAGGGCGAGAGTGGGCAATGGGGAGAGCGGAAGAGAATTTACCTTACGATTTGTATACATTATATATATACTCCTTGCACTCCACCCGATTAATCCTTTTAATTTTAAAAGTTTTTTTTCGGTGTATGAGAGAGAGGGGGAGAGAGAGAGTGAGGGCAAAGCAAACATGCGACGCACTCGCTCTCTCACTCACTCTCGCTGCACAAAACAAACTTTTTTAATAACATGCCCAAAGAGAGCTTGAAGACCCGAGCGAAGTTATCAACCAAAAGTCCAAGTAATGGGAATAAATTTTCCAGCATTACGCTGCACAACGTACTCTGCATACATTTCTGCACTCTGGTCAACAAACAACAACTGCGCTAGAGGAAGTCACCAAAAACTTTAGCAGCAACTGCGCCTGCAGGCGCTCAATCTCTCTGTCTCTCTCCCTCTCTCTCACTCCCACTCTGTTGCTCTCTCGTTCGACTCGACTGCAAATACGAGTTATAATAATTTCTTTTCAATTTCCTTCAAAGCAAATAGCTCGGAGATGAGAGCTGAGCTGAGTGCTGAAAAATGTTTGAATGCAGGCAACGTTGATTCCGGCACAGGATTAGAAAACAGTCTAAAAAGATTTGGCGACTGGGAGGAGGCGGCTCTGCTGAGGGCGAGCTATGTAAACAGCATAAATCCTTGACTTGGCCAAAATAGTGGAGCCAGGCGAGGGTGGCGAAGGGCAAATGTAACTCATTTTCTATTTTCTATCATCGTCATTTTTGCTGGCATTTGCATAATTTCAAGCAAACAAGCAATTTGTTGCCCTTTCAGGCATTCGAGTCAACAAGCAAGCAGTTGCAGTTGCTGTTGCAGTTGCAGTTGCAGCTGCAGTCACAGTTACAATCACGGTCGCAGTCACAGTCACTGTCACAGTCACAGTCAGAGATTACACAATGGTGTAGCCTAGCCTCGGGCTGGGCAATTTGATCCTTATCAGCCAGTTGACAGTTGGCTGCCTGGGCAACAGCTCGGCCGAGCCTCAGCTAATTTGATTAAAAGTGGAAAATAGAAAATGCTAAATGGAAAATGGAAAAACATTCAAATTGCATAACAAGCCTCCTGACAAAATGACAAGCTGCAAGCACAAAATGAAAACTTTAAACAGAAATAAATTGCGAGAGGCTACAATTAAAATGCTACTCGATTTTTGCTGCCAAATTGAAAATGTAAAGGAAAATTCCTGGGAAACTCGAATGAAATTAAAAATGAAAATTTAATAGAAAATCTTCAAGAGCCAAAGAATTTTGTGGAAATTGATGAGATAATCTATTCGATAATTGATAATCGAATTTTAGCTAAAGTCAATTACAATTGAAATCAGTTATATGATTTTAAATTGGACATGACATGCAGTTGTGGCAGTTAACCGAAAAAGGAATTAGTTATGACTTTCCTCTACTCCAGGAGCATCTATATGCTGAATTTGAAGTCAATCGCTCTTATCAAACTCGAGTTATGCTAGATAAACCAAATTGAACCAACGAGATTATAGCAGACATCAAGATGCTTGTGCTGATATTTTAAATATACAGTAAAATACGTCTATAATATAGGATATAGAAATGCAGATTAAAAGTTTACTCTACTATACAGTAAAATACTAAAAAAAATACCAAATTCAGTTTTACTTACAACTTTTTTTAATGTTAATACTCAATTGACATATTTGGCTAAAGCAACTTGAACTTCTCTTGGGTCTGTTGAAAAGCTCTATGACACTTGATTTCAGTCTTCCCTCACATGTCGAACGATCAAAGCGAGCCTGTTTTCCAAATTGTTTCGTATCTCAGAACAGACAGTAAAAAAAGACCAGAAACTTAAATTTACACAGACTTAAACTATTTTGTACATTTTTAATTTATTTTTGGTGTTTTGCATTGTTTATCGTTTGTTGCTGGCATTCGCTTCAAGTAATTGACGTGACTTTGCGGTGGGACCGAAAGGTGAGTCTATGAAACCCGAAAACACGTGAATAATGGCCGAAAAGTTGTTCGGCCTGTTGGCATAATTCAGTAACTTATTGCATGCAGCTGTTAACTTGGCTAACAGAACTTTGCTTGCGATAAAAGCCAACAGCAACGGTGCTGCAAGTGGGGAGAGTAGCTCCAGTGGTGGACTGAGAGATACCCTAACAATTCTGCGAACTTGAAAATATTATAAATCTTGGGCGCTTAGATTGAAGATCAGTAAGGTGATAGACGAGGAGATATTCTCTGGATATATTGCAGGCCGTCAAATAGAGTAACTTCCTTCTAATATTTAATCTTTAGGTTTCTTTGAGTCCTTAAGCGAAATATACTGCTCTATTATGACACCTTTCTAAGGTATAAAAAAAAGGAAAATTCTCTTACTTGCGTATACTCTATGAGTATCCATATACCACGTATAAAGACAGTAGATCGTATAATTCCCGACTTATCGATCTTATAGAAGAGGCACTCCGAGTCAACTGTCCATCTATATTTCTACCAGCCGTCACATACGCACACTCCATACCTATATACCCCACCATATGCGTTGCTAATTGGCTGTGAGCATTAAAACTGTTTGTCCTGCAAAATAATTTGCAAGCGAGTTTTTCAGTTTTCCTGTTGCAAGTGCAGGCAGAAAGCTATGGCCAACAAATATAATAAATTCAATATTAAGTTGTGCCTACGCACACACACGCACACGAACGCTGTCTGCCTGTGTGTGTAAATACACGCACTCTACAATATTTGTGCTTTGAGAGTCAAAAGTTATCGCCAGGCAAACAGGCCAGGCCAACAACAACAACAACAACAACAACAACTTAAAGCCCACAGGCAGCGCTGCCCAGCAGCTCCCTTTCGCTCTCTCTCTCTCTCTTTTTTAAAGTGGGCGTGTGTGCAGCTGCCCTAGACCTGCAACAGGCATGCCTAACCGCTCCTCGTACCGCCCCCCTCCCTCTGATTTTTTCTCTGTTGGTCTGCCTGCGTGTGCTGCTGTTTATGACTTGCTTGCGCTGCCATAAATAAACTTACGCTGGCAGGTAATCATTTTACGCCGTATTTTTGTGCTGCAAGCCTCCCCTCTCTCACTCCCTCTTTCTCTCTCTTTCCACTGCCCCCCTGCCCGCTCTCTCTTTAGGCATCGCTCTCCCGCCGGCTTAGCTCTGTACAGCGAAATTTCTCTACGTTTCCTCAGCTTTTTTTCGTGTTTGTTTTTGTTGCTGTTTACACAGTGTGGTTTCAATTTAATTACTGCACAGCAGTTATATTGACGTTGCCTCATTAAGCCCCTACCACACGCACACTAACACACACACATGCCTAGAAAAAACTATTCGAGCTGCAAAGCTTAAGCCTGTCAATCGCAAACGTTTTGCTGCGGCTTTTGGCACTGGCTCTAATGCAGCACATACGTATGTGTGTGTGTGTATACCTTGGTCTTATTAGTGTTTGTGTATAGTGATTTGCTTTAGCCGCAACAAACAATCTGCTGCTGATGCTGCTGCTGCTTCTTCTTGATTAACATCGGCTTATTTGTTGTTTTTCTTTCTCTTTTGCTAACAATATTTCCTTACACAAGGAAATTATGAAAAGAAATTACATAGTTGATAGCAGAATTAGGGCTTATGGCTCCATTTTTGGTAGTCATTTAAGTGAAATGTTATAAGAGCGAGAGATGACTAGCCTTACTACTCTTATTCAAATTTTCTATCAATTTTATTTGTTGCATACTTTCGGGCTTTACATGTTTGCATGTATTTATAGCATAGAAAAGTAGTAGATCTAAAGGCAATAAGCTAAACACAGTGAAGCCTCACACATAAATATCTAAAAATCCATTTAAGCTCCTTCCATTGTAGCTAAAGCTAAGAGTAGCAAAGTAGCCTTACATCAGTTTAGGTATGCTTAGCTTGGCTTCACTGTACTTTTTACACTGTGCAAAATCTATTTTTGTACTTTATGCAACTTTAGTTTAGCTTTAGCAGGTGTTTAATTAATAGACTCGCCAACAAGTCCCAATGCAATTTCAGCTTTTGTTTTTTGCACGCCCAGCGGCTCGAACTTTTAATGGGCTTTCTAATACGAGACACACACACACTCACACGCACACACTCAGAGAGGAGGACATGCTGTCCTGTTTGCCATGTGCACGTATAATTACATGGCAGAAAGTTCAGCATTTGGCTTTGGGTTTACCTTTAGCTTATGGCCAAATAGGCCGAGCCCGAAAAACATGCATTATGACTATTTTATGAAGCACGCGTTGGCAAAGTTTGGCAGCAGCAAAGTAGATGCAGCCGGAGCAACAGGACGAGCCCTGAGTCCTGCTGTTGGCCTGTTGTGCATTGTGCGCTGTCAGGTATTTATATACATAAGTTGCTGCCAGGACTGTTGGCCCCATCCTGCGAATATCCTGTCTCTCTCTCTCTCTGGGTGTGTGTGTGTGTGTGTGTGTTTTGCTCATTGTTATCACAACTGGTTTATGGCTCGACTAAAAGTTTTAAATTCATGAGCTCTCACTGTGGTGGACCAACAAAACTTCAAAGCCCATGCAACAGCCTGAATGGGTCCCCACTATAACTGTCTGCGTTGACCCTCTTCATGTTAGCCTTCACAGGCATATTATCAGCCCATAAACTGCATATGAGTCTCCATTCAGAGCCAGCAGGCAGTGTGCGCCCTTTCAAATCATTCCGAATAGGCTATTAAGCCTCAGTTAGTCAATGGCTATTGACCCTAATCTCAGCAGGCTAATTCAATATTTCGTCTCATTGCTTTAATACACTGAGAAAGATTAGACAAATTAATTCTTCGTAGTCATTTTCCCGTAGGACGCACATAGAATGAATAATTTCTTTTCATAAATTATAAAGAAATCAATAAAAGAAATCAATAATGCCTTAATTTTAACAGCAATGGCTGTTTGCTTCCTTCTGTCTTAGTTCTTGCTTCTCTATCTGTCTCACTCTTGCTTGTGATCTTAGCTAAGTCTTTTAATACATTATAAAGAAATCAATAAGAAAAGTAATGTTAATTGGTTGCCTTGATTTGAACAGCAATGGCTGTTTGCTTCCTTCTGTTACTCTATCTGTCTCGCTCTTGCTTGTGATCTTAGCTAAGTTAAAGCTGTAGCGCAATGGCAAGGAGTGCGCACGGTAAGCAAGCAGCCCCCGGTTCAAATCTTGCAGTCGAAAAAAGGTTTTTTTTATTTTTTCAAATTTTGTTTATTTTTAATTTTTAAGTTCTTATGTTTACATTTCTTTTATAACTCTTAGCTAATCATGTTGCTTGGGGTGCTTACCTTACTTTGGAACACCATTACGAATTATGTTGCCAAATTCATGGACACGGTCTATGAGTCGAATTACTTTATGGCTCTGTTTAGCTGCATTATGGCGACGATTTTGATGGCGCATTTGAAATCGGCGACGGTTATATTGACTGAAATACACAAGCCCAAGCGTCGCCGATCGTTAATCGATCGACAGCCGTCGCCAATTAACATTGTGAGCTGCGTGGCCTACAAGACGGAGCTGGAGGAATCGCTGCGCTGGTACAGCTACGACGAGCTGCCACCGGCCGTGATACTCGAGAACAATGGCTGCACGGTGATAATGCGCATTTGCTGTTCCCCGGAATATACTCCGTACATTACGGGTGGAAATCTGCCAGCAAACTACTATTTTATGGAGGCTTCGTTCAAATGGAGCTCGGAGCACTCGATTGACTCGCACAATTATGCCATGGAGATGCAGGTGCTGCATGCCGCAAACATAAGCGATGTCCCCTACGAATACCTAACGGTGTCCTACATGTTCGACCTCGCACAGCAGAAGAACTATATGTTCGATCAGATCATCAACAATTTGGCCTCCATTCGCACAGCCGGCTCAGCGATCGAGCTACCGCCCTTCGACCTGGCCACCCTGATGTGGTGCTTCGGCAGCGACTATTACAGCTATCGCGGCACCTATACCAACGGCAACTTCGTTCTGCCCAGCCTATGGGTCATTTGCTCGCGCACCTTCTACATCGCCCCCGAGCAATTGGCTCGCTTCAGAGACATTTGCGATCTGAGCGGACGGAACATCGTGTGGAACGCCCGCCAGAAGAAGCCGCTGGGCGATCGTTGCGTTTCATTGAACTGTTATTAATAGAGAAAGAGAGGGAAAGTTAGAGAGAGAAAGCCTGTTCTGTTCTTGTTGAGTTAAATTCATAAGCAATATATGGGAATCATTTTTGTTGAGTGGTAATTTGTGAAATTTCAATTGAGAGAAAGAACGAATTTTTGATGTTCTTTAATATCTATATTTAATAGCAGTGAAAAGACTTTCTTATGTTCTTTTTATAAATCTTTGTAGTATTTTTAGCTCCTGTTCCGATTAAAAGAGACTATTTTATCCATACTCGATAAAAGCCAATTAGGAAGACTAAAGCGAATTATTTTTGAGCATATCTCGGCTATAGAATCAGCATAATGATATTTTGATTGAAAAGTCTAAGTAAACTGTTCTTTACTCTAGGATCATTAGGAAACATCTCTTTTAAACAGTGCCAGTTAAGTATTACATTCTATCTATCTTTATTTGGAAGCAAAGTTTTATTGTAACTTCGACCTTTGTAAGGTCTCAGCTGAGTCTTTGAGGAAAAAGTTAAATAAATTAATTCAAATGCAAGTTTTCTAGTTTTCGAATTTAATATTTTTATTTATATTGAAGTTTAAGTTAACTCAAAAAGTTAAGTTTTAGCCTCTGAAAATGCCCTGACCCCTATTTGTTTGGATCAGCACCGTGCCTTGAGCTGGAAAGTGAGAGAAAGATGGAAAGAGAGTTAGTGAGCTAGTGAGGAATAGTTGATACACAGTTACAGCCTATACCCTAACTGCTAGGTGTGGGGGGTTTACTTACGCTCCGGCTCAGCGCTGGCCATAGCCACAATCAGAGCGAAGACAAAGCCGCAAATCTTGATCAATTGCATGTTGATTGTATATAGTCTATGTATCTTGTGTATGTATATAAAGTAAGTCTGTGCTGCGATTGATTCGCTTTAAGTCTGTTGTGGAATTAACAGCAGCAGCTGCTTTTATAGCAGCCAAGCGGAAGGCAGCGCCAAAGCAGCAGAAAAACCAACAGCCAAAGCTGCGGCAATTGCACTTGTTATCAGGTTTTTCTATACCCTGGCTTTCAATGAGACTAACTAAATGGGGTATGACGTATCCTTAAAGGGTAAGTATGTCAAGTATATGAATATGTAACATAGTACACATAAGGATGATCGATACTATGGAATGAGTCGCGTTGAGTTAGCCTCCTTTTTCAGTCAGTTTTTCAGCTACCAAAAGTGTAGACGTGAAGTATATATTCCTGTATATCGCTCGAGAGAGTGTCGACTGATGATTCTTCTGCCATATTACATTTCTTATATATTATCAAAGATGCACAACATTTTCTTGGTTTTTTTAAAGTAAGCAGTAATCAGAATATTAGAAAATTATTACGTACATATTAGTTTCCTCAAAAATTTCCTTAGAAAAATGGTTACAGTATCTGACATTTATATGCAGACACATTAAGCTGTTGTATATATGCTCCCAACATTTCATTAAGATCCCGAGACCAAAAGCAAAGTTATCTGGGAACATTAATGCCATGATGGACTGCTCTCAATATGTGTAAGTGTGTATATGCACAACATTATGTTTTTACACATGTACTTTGCTCTTAGAATATATATAATAAATCTCAAAGACAGGGTATCTCTCAGTCAGGCAGTCAGTCGACTAGCATATTCTTAGTCTCCCAGTTGTTTTTTCTGTTTTCTTGGGCTTTGCCCACAGCTCGCGCGCAGCTTATCACGTGCTCGAAAAGAAAATCCCGAACAATTGAAATCTTTAAAGTGTATTCCAATTGCTAGCAGGAGCTGAGCTGAATGAAATTTGAATGCATTGGAGCACATAGTCAAAGTCTGCTTCAAGAGCCAATGAACCAGAGCACAGTGGATTAATCTGGTGCACAAACCCGACAAAAAACTAAAAAAAGTGACACAAAAATTACTTCAAATTATTTATTATTTATGAATATGAAATAATTCAAATTCCATTTTTGTCACAGAAAACGAGCAATTGGCCCACTGTGCGCTGGGCAATGGGCCATTCGTAGCCGAAGGCAAGCTTGAAACAAGTCTAAATTAATTTCTTATGAAAGGGAGTGAGAAGCAGCAGTGAGGGAGGCGGCAAGTGAAAAGGGGCGTGGCTGTCCAACCCTTCGACTTCTTGCAGCATAATTCGCATGGTCGCAAAATTCACTTTGAAATGAGAGATGAAAGATGGCGAAGCTCGTTGCAAATTCCACGCGCCCAATGCGAAATGGCAACAGTAAGGCTCGGCTATATTGACTGCCCCCCGCTCCCACACACACGCACACGCACACACACACACACACAGGAGCAGCCATTGCAGTCATTGCCTGTTGCCAGAGCAACCGCCTTTGGGTTGGGGCTACACACAAATTGTTGTTAGCTGGAATTTTGGTGCAGTCGAAAATCAAAAAGGATTAGCTCGAGCATCGCCCTCGCCCTCGCCGCCCCCGCCTCCCCATAGTTGCCTGGCTGAGCTGCTGCCCCGGTTGCGGCTGCTGCCTTCTGGCTGCTCCGGCGGACAGCCAAAGTCTCGCCGACACAATCATACGAGCTGTTAAACCAAAAGGCAGACTTCTTCTATTACAATTTATTTCAGGCGTGGAAATATTTGCGGTAAAAGTTTCAAATAATTGTTGATGTAACGAACCATGCTACAGCTAGGAATGGGCCGAGCTGGGACTGGGGATCGGCGGTTGGGGGACTGGGGGTATTCCACAAAGTGAAAACAATGCACAAAAATAGTTTTCGCCTTGTGGGGCATCTGAAAATTGTTTAAAGTTTTACTCATATACAAAAATATGAAGTCTTCGCTTCTACTGCCAGCAGCAATTAAAATAAATGGTAGTGGGGTTGGCCCGACTAGCAGATGCTCTGTACTGCAAAAACTAGGTAGAATAGCTGAGCTAAATATTTTATATATAGTTAAAGGATTCAGATGAAGAAGAGTCATAGATAGGCTCTAATCAGAAGAAGCCATATTATTTTTTAAATTTATTTTCAGATGAAGTACAGATAGATATTTATAAAGAGATCAACTTGTATATACCTCTCTATCTAGATGATATGGGTTCGTCTGCATATTTGAATCAATTCATCATCTCCCGCTCTCACATTTTATAAAAGGTGCAACAAACTTTTAACTTTTCACATTTTCATTACAGTCGCATAGTAGAGTATATGTATATATAATATATAATATATATATATAGCTAGACCTGACATTGTCGAGCTCACTCTGGGGCATTTCCAATTTCATTTAGTATCAAAGAGAATCAACAACAAATGTCAGCTCAGCTGCTGATAACAAGTTGATGCAAAAAACCCGTTCTATGCATCGGGTAAACTACGTATTAGCTATGCCAATTGCATAGAGAACACGACTAAGATATGCCCTACAGATAACTAATGCGAGTTTTCTTTGATATACAAATAAATAATATGCAAATTTAATAGATTTACAATATCCCAACAATAAATATACCTCAATTCGACTAGAATTTGTTTGCTTAGTGAATACCCTATACTATAATGTCATCAAATATGATCATATTTATATATACTATATCTTTTAACTGCCACACGTTTATGAATGAAGCGACAATTTAATTGATTTTCTGTGAATTCAATTAAAGTTGACGTTGTAACTGGTTTCCATAAAGCAGAAATCTGTATTCTAGGAAATCGTCAGGCACTAAACAAATAAGGTAACAATTGTGCATAGGTAATGTTGCATATCATTATTATTGCAAATGCCCTAACTCTCATTCGGGGTATGATGAAAATGCTGAATGTTATGACTTGTAGAAGGTGGAGTATATGAGGAAGCTTGGAATGAGTTGTAGAGCGAATAAAGAGAAGATATATAGTATTCAGATTAAAGGGTTTTGTGTATATTAAATAGGTGAGTTTCTTCTTGATTGATTGTCGTTGTTGAGTACTCAGAAAATGTAATAAAATATTCGAGTGGGAAAGAACAATAATTAATCAAACATATATAATATAAAAAATATATAAATATTTAATTATATAAAAAAAAAAAATAATTATTTAAAAAAAAAAAAAAATAAATATATATATAAAGTATTTTAAAATATTCTTTGCATATATTGGCATGTATATATTTTGCATATATGTATATTTCTTTATATATATGTTTACAAAATATATAAAAATAATTCAGAATATATATTTTACATCACATATCAATAAGAAAGTCCAACAATACGTTTCGAACCGAAAGTTAGGAGATATAAATAAATATATAAATTTTATTTCGTATAAACAATAACAATATATATGCATATATTTCCAGGCTCTCTATATACATACACAGCACGTACATAGTATATCTATCCATGACTCAATTGCTTAACTTTTTGTTAGAGCATACCAAATTCGTTGTGCTGTCAAATGTTTTGCCTTTTTCCCAACCATTTAGTAAACATTTGAGGAAAGAAATCATTGGCATGCAATTTCATGCGCTTTCTGTAAGTAAAATTTTATTTTACCTACAAACAAATATGGATTTAAATAAAAACGCTACAAAAGTATAAACGTTAGGTTTAATTTAATATTTTTATTTTATTTTTAGAGGCAATTCAGTTTCATTGTTTAAAGTTTTCGAGGAGTTTAACCCGTGCGAATGTATTGAACGTTGTCGGTCTGGACGAGCACAGTGCCAGCTGCAAAGATTGATTGATTGATGTTGATTGATTGATTGATATACTATTGAAATTTGAGTAGACTTACGTTTGGGCACAGGCTCTGCGCTGGCAAAGGCACCGATGAGGGCCAGGAGAAGGGCAGCTGCTTGGAGGAATTTCATCTTTGGATTTGATTTGTTTCTGTATTCGATTGATACTGATTGCAGCCCAGAGCGGAGCTGATCTTTTATAGCAACTGCCAGTGGCTGGCTGCTGGCTGGGGCTGGCTGCTACGTCGACTGCGCCTCGGGAAATTCCTAGCGATTTGGAATTTTGCAGGTTAAAAGATCAGTTACTCAATTCAACAGACTATCAGCCAATCATTTGAGACTAAACTTGAACCAAAAACTGGAATAGGTAGGTTTACTCGACTAATACTAATATGCTCTCTTACCACTAGCCCAGAAAACCCTTTTAAGAGTCATGCAATCAAAGACGAATATAGGAACTCCAGGGATCTAAAGAACTTATTTGCTAGGATCTAAATACTTTAAGATCCTCCTAGCATAACTTGGCTTTCTGCACAGATTTTTTTAACTTATCTATTTTCACATCTAGGTTTCTATATTGACGTCGTTAAGGAAGTGTCTGGATTAGCGAAGCTGTACTGTACTATATTATTTACATATAATAATTTTTACTATTTATGTATTTAGATGCACTAGGTAGCATTAAATATACAACATATTATATTTTATTAGCTCTATATATGGATATATTCACATATACATCTACATGCATATGTATTTATAAGCATCCAATTAGAATTTGCATCAGAGTTCCAGTTATCAATTTTGTTGTTGCTGCTCCCGTGCTTTGGGTATTTTCTGTATACTTTAAATAAATACTGATTAGCCAGAGACACTGGAAATTCCAGTCAGCACTGCTGCCAGAGCTCTGTCTCTGCGTCTGTCTCTGTCTCTGTCAGCCTATAAAAGCGCATTGAAATCCGATCTCTAGGTTCATTCAATAGCCAGAATTAAGCAACATGAATTGTCTAAAGATCTGCGGATTTGTTTTTGCCTTGATTGCGGCGCTGGCAAGTGCGAATGCTGGTATGTAAATACATGTACAAATATTATATGCATTAAACATTATTATTTAATTATATTACTCTATTTTTTTAGCCACTCAGGTGATTCACTCTGGCGGCCACACACTCATTCAAACAGAGAACGGTCAATACATACGCAAACACTAAACTGAAACTGAAAATGGAATAAATTAATAAATTAAAAAACCAAAATGGAAAACTAATTTAAATTTGTTTTTCTCTATATATTTGAATTGTGTGTTTTTTTTTAGTTATGCAAATGCTGGTCACACTTGCGTGGCAGCTGCATCGATTTCTGCTTGCTTGATCGATTATCGACCGACCGCCACATTCAGCTGGCGCTCAGCTGATTCAGTTTGGGCACACTCTTCAAGTGCAGCTTAGTTGTGATCTTTTGTTTAGCCGGCTTGTCTTAATCTCTTAATTAAAACAGTTAATTATAAGTATGAATATACGTAAATATAATGCTGCAACACAATAAATATGGCATTATGTTATTACAATTCTCTTGCAGGCTTTACTTGATATATCAGCCAGTGCAATTTGCCTTTCAAGCGGCTCAGCTTATCGCAGACAAATGACAAGCAGCAGCAGCAGCAGCAACAGAGCTCAACAAAAACGTGCCAAGCTGCTGCAACAACGAGCAAAGTGAACAACAAATACAAGAACTAATATAAACAAGAGCGAACCGCAAAAAGCCAACCGCAACAACAAACCACAATCGGCAAAATCATCAACACTGGCGCGACAGTCCGGCCCTTCCAGGCTGCCCAGCGGCCAAACGACAGAGAGCGAAAGAGAAGGAGAGTAACAGAGACAGAGAGCGACAGAGAGATTCGTTCGTGTCAGTTGCAATTTTGACAACGCCAACGAACCGCAAACACCCGCGCAAAAGTCATGACAACTGCTGCAGCATCAGCTACTGCTCCTGCGCCTGCCACGCCTCCGCCTCCGCCTGCGTCGGCTGTGCCGCCCCCGCCTCAAGCTAAGTCGCTAAACGCGCTGCTGCACTTGCCCGCAGAGATGGAGTTGAGCCAAATTGAGTTGATCTATCGGGCGGAGGGTAATGCAAATTTGGTGCTGGCATTGCCGCAATTTAAAAAAGTTTTACGTTTGCCAAAAATGATATCCAGCAGCAGTAGCAGCAGCACAAGCAGCAGGAGTCGTTGCTGCCAGCCGGCCAGCGCAGACCAACCGGAAGGACAGCAACCCAGCGTTTCCGACCCAAGCGAAGCATCAAGCTCAAAAGGTTGAATGCTGCATATATATACGTACTATATATACATATATATCAATATATATAAGAGAGCAGCATTTATATGTATGCTGTCTTGTTACTGTTGTTAGGTTTGGCCAGGAAATGGTTGCGTGCAACTTCAAACACCATGGCTTAAGCAAAAGCAACAACAATGAGACAGCGAAAGATGCGAGCTAGGCAGAAGCGAAAATATGTATTTTAATAGTTTTATAAGATATTTAATATATTATGCATGCTCCTACTTTAAGTCTTTTGCATTAGATGTTTATATATTTAATATAGATTTGATTAGGCATGCTTAAGTTAGCTGAACTCTATATACGATTGATTTTTGATAAAGCTATTATGTATATGTAATAGTGAAATTGTTTGTAGCCTTTTATCATTTGAGTAGTTGAGTCTAAGTTTATAGACCTGAATACGAATGGTTGTATAGATAATTTATTTATGGATATATGAGACATATGGAAATGCTAATGTTTAGATACAGAGATGTGGAAATACAAATATATGGAAAGACTTATGTATGTTTAGATATAGAGATGTAGAACTATAGAGATATAGATCTATAGATCTATAGACATATGTTAACTGTAAAATCTTAATGTATGGATGTATAATCCTGTAGGTATGTGAATGCATGAATACTGACATGTCTATAAGCCTTTTCCTTAGTTACTCTTTAAGAATGTTTTATCTATATATATAATATATATATGTACATATGCGATAACTAGTGCTATCCTCTTATAATGCAGCACAGCTAGTGTATAACAATAAGAGCTTCCTATTTCGACCAAATCGCAGTCAAAAGCAAAAGCAAACTTAGTTCCTTTTTGCGTTGCTGTTGGCCAATTTGTGTATTGTGCGATGCTTATTGCCCGCTTGGCTGGCTTTGTATAGCGCAGATATAGATGTATGTATATATGTGTGTATATTTATATAGATGTGCATTTGTATGGAGCTGTGACCCCAGTCATATCTGTTTTTGTGGCTGGCTGTGCATCTTCCCTTGGCCATTGCATCGAGATGTGTTTATTTCATTTATCTTATTTCTTGCCTTTCTCTCTTTTAGCTGGCGCCTTGACAATGCCCGATTTTATGGCTTATATCGAGATAATGCGCCGTCTATTAGGAAATGAGTTTGTCTGTGCAGCGGATATTGTTGCCATACCAAAGGAAAGCGATAGATGCTGGATAAACGAGCACATACGCCAGCACAGGCCGGGTGAGTTCATCTCCGGAGAGAGACGCGCAAAGAGAGAGTGAGAGAGAGTGGGGAGGGGAGTGGTTGGAGAGGCAGCTGCTGTGTCATAGTCTTATTTTGTATTTGATCTGCGCTGCATTCGCCGCTCGCCTTTGGCCTGCATCCAAAAGCCACTGCCGCTGCCGCTTCCGCTGCCCGAGCAATCAATCATAAACGAGCTTTTTAGTGCAGACTTTGCCCTGCCCCTCCTCCAACTGCTTCCCGTTCTTCGCTCACCGCTCGCTGCTCTCTTGTTCCACTTTCTACTAAATTGTACATCAAAGTGGAGCCACATGGGACTGATTAGTGGTGCCGGCCAATAGTCGCAGCCATATATCAAAATTCGGTTTATATTGCACCAACAGCAACAGGCGGCAGCTCGTTGTACGCCGCTTGCTGCTCGCTGCTGGCTGCTCGGAGCCACCATTTATCATTGCCCAGCGGCGTCTGCTATATATCAATATACAGTGAAATCTGCCCTAGAAGGACGTGTCGGGTTAAAAGAGTTTGTCACCTATGGCAGCTGATAAGAAAGTGGCGCATATACGTCAAGCAAGTGTTAAAGAATAACTTTGAGAATATGCTTACAATACGCTCTATACATGTACTAAATATGTATAGAGACTCGTTCACATTTAGTACATATATGGATACTTAGTACATGTATGAATATTTAGTACATGTATGGATATTTAGAGCATGTATGAATATGGGTTACATTTATGGAGATTTAGTATGGAAATTTAGTGCATGTATGAATACTTAGTAAATATATGGAGATTTTACACATTTATAGGCATATATGGGCATTTAGTACACATTTAGGGACTTTGTATGGATATGTAATTTACATGTGGGGATTCCATATATTTGATATCTATTATAGAGTATATATATATATGTACTTATATTATATGCATATATGTACTTTATTTATATGCATGTATGTACTTAATTTAAATGCCTGCCTTGTGAAGGTTTGCAGTATATAAATTATATATTTCCATACTAAATATCCCTTTTATAAAGACAGAAAGTGTGAGAGAAATTGACATAAATTTAATAACTCACTCTCTCTCTCTCTGTCTCTCTGTCTATCTCTTGCTTAAAGCTGTACTAAAATTGTAAATTCTTCAACATTTACAGCTCCACAAGCTCAGCAACTTGCTGATGCAGCTGTCCGTTAGCATTGATTTCACTGTGCATCCGCATATATATCAGTTGAGTGGACTGCACTTTACATTCATGTTCCTTCGCTCCTTTTGCAGTTTCGCGTCTGGATAAGGAATTTGTGGGGCCATTCGGTCTGCTGCTGCCAGATGTGACCCAATTGCCTGCCACATTCGATGTTTTACTTGCCAATTTACAGGTGAGTTTCTATCGGGATATTGCCTGCCCTGTATATATATATCGATGTATATAGATAAATATATATACATATAGATTTTGAACAAGGACAATATTGGCAGGTTGTGCCATATGCGCTGCTGCGGTTTAGCTCGCTTTTGTGCACTCCAAAAAATAAAAGGAAAACAAATATTTTGTAGCCAAAAACCTAAAACTGTGAGCCGATGCACATGGATGTGGACATGCAGCAACAGCAACAGCAACAGCAGCAGCAGCAGGAGTAGCAGGAGCAGCAGCTAAGGCAACATAAATCAACGGTTCTTTGTTTTGAATTAAAGTGGGCAACAGTGTAAACACATTGTTGTTGTGTCCATTGCTGCTGTTGTTGTTGTTGTTGCTGCTGTGGCTAGCGGCATTGGCAGCCAAAAAGCTAAAGCCTTCGCCTGGACCCGCTGGCCGTTTCGGTGGCTGCGGTTATAAAGGACGACGAAAATTGCTTTGAAAGTGCCGCCAAAGCCACTAGTTCAAATATACCCTGTAATTTATAGCTGTTACGTAAAAGGGCTGAATGGAAGGGGTTATCAACGATAGAGAAATGTATAGATAATGAGATATGATTGAAAGGAAAGAATCGGAGGGAAATGAAATAACTTGAGCATTTTTATGACAAGACGTGAATAGACTTGAAAGTTTCAAATTGAATTCCAATTGGAACTTGTTGGTATATTGGGAAATATGTTGATTACTTACAGAAAATATTAGTACACTGTTCTGGAATTGCTATGTATAATTTTTAGATCTACTTCGCCTATTTATTTATAGATAGCTATAGGATTTTAGATCAGTTTCATTCATTCCTTCTCATTTCGTAGCTTCTAAATTTTTAGTACATACAATTTTAACCGCTATATCTATCATTTTAAGCATATTCTCCATTCCGGCTATAAAATATATATATTTATATTTTTTTTATTTAAATTTTCTGCTTTCTGTTTAAATTTGGAAAGTTTTCACTTAAACTCAAAAAATTGTATGCAAAAATCGAGTTCGAGAACAAAAGCCAAAGCGACATCTGGCGTAAGGTTCTATTACTTACCCTGCACTAAACGCTAGATGGCGCCAGCGACAGTCCAAATAAATGCTGAATAGGATATCTCTAAAGTCCAGTTAGCTGCCATATTTAAGCCACGTTAGCACACGCGATGCTTATATATTCAATTTATGGCTTTGCTGCCAAAGCATTGACCGAAATAAAATTGCAAGGAGTAAAAGAAACAAAACGAAAAAAAAAGCAGAGAGGAAAAACAATAAAAACAAGTAGAAGAAGAAGAAGCAGCATAGTAACGATGCCATAACTAACGCTATATTGGATATGACTAGGAGCTGGGAGTAGCTTCACTGTCCACTGTCCGCAGTCCGCAGTCCGCAGTCCGGCAGCAGCTGCTCGGATTGCTGTGCGCCTTGTTTAATTGTGGCTTTAAATGTTAATTTTCAATTTCAAGTTGAGCCGTGGCGCACGTGTGGACACCGCCGGCCTTCTGTGTACCTGGGCAAATATATTTCACCTGTGCCATAACTCATCATACAATCAGCGTGGCAAACAGAAAGTTTTCCTTTATGTGGCAACAACAGGCACAGGACATCGAGGACCTCGCGGACAACGAGGACACCGAGCACAATGGCAATGGCTGGCAGTTACAGTTCATGTTCGCTCTTGCAGCGATAACCGTTGCAGCCGCCTCTGAACTCTTTTTTTCTGCTCTCCTCCTCTTTTCCTTCTTCATTTTATTGTTTTCTCTGTGTGTGTGTTGTTTGTGTTGTGTCGCTGGCAACAACTCCACTTCGCTAGTCGTTGGCATTTTCAAGTCAAAATGGCGTCAACGCGGCCTGCAACCTCTCTGTCTCACTCTCTCTTTCTCTCCAACTGCAACTCCATTTGGCAGCGCAATAAAAAATAAGCGTGATTTTATGGGGAACGACTGAGAGATATCTCACACAATCATGCGTTCTGTTAGGTCATAATTACTTAATTAAGGAAATGAGCTATATGTCAATGTGATCCAACAGAAATCTCTTTATATATCATCTTCGTATACTCCTAATGAACCTATATATAGAGTCTTGAATTTGATATGGGAAATAACTAGAAAAACATATATAAAATATATGAAAAAATCTTCTCTTTCTGGTTTACCAAATATACTTATCTAAGCCTATAACACCCTCCTAGAGCTAATCTACCCTCCTTTTAACGTATTTTTGTGGATCAACCCATGTACAGAAAAAAAGTGAAAAGAAAAACGAATAAGCCAAACGAAATAATTTGTAGGCAAAGGACATGAACATGGACACGGACATGGATGCGGACATATGCAGCAGCAGCAGCAGGAGTAGGAGCTGCACTACCAGCAGTAGCTGTGGAGTAAGCCGTCTGGGCAATACATATGCCATCGAAATAAAACCGAAGCAGGGCTGGCTCCAGTTGCCAAGTGATGTCAGCGATTTATTTGATTTAATGCCAACTGGCGACGGCACAATGGACCCGACCTGCGAACCTGAACCACAGCCCGAACCCCAAGCTGAACCTGAACCTGAACCCAAGCCGGTAAAGGCAAACGAATCGACGGCGACGAAGAAGGTGCGGCCAACGGTTGATACGTTGTTAAAGCCAGACAAATGCAGGTGTCGCTATTGCAGCATGCAGGTGGTAAAGGTGAGGCGAATATTAAGTGATGGTGTGTGTGTGTGTGTGAGTGTGGAAACTATCTGTGTGAGGGAGGAGTGGCGTGTGGGTGTGTTTGATGTGCTGCCAGCTACTTGTTATTTGATTTACAAACATTTACAAACATTCGTATATTACTTCTACTACATCTACTTCCCACTCTTCTTCTTCTTCGTCTCTTTCGCAGCTGCACTTGGGTAAAATCAAGCGATTGGGCCAATATTGTCCATTGCATTTGTTCTCCGGGTAAGTTGAGCCGGGCTTAACACGCCTTTAAGTCATAAATTTTAATATGCTCCATTTGCGTGTCCTGTCGTGCTTCATAATTCCAACACCTTCAACTGGCTGAAGCTCCGAGGCAGCCTCACCTGTGTGCCTCTGGCGTGTTTTACCTGCAGGCAATTGAATGCCACTTTTTTCTCCTTTTTTCTTTGCGCTGCTCTGTTTCCGGCTTGAGCCTTTATAATATGGGTGCTCGACTGGTTTGTTTTCGCATACCCTAAGTGATAGTGAGTGTGGGCGTGGCAGAGGGTGGATTCGTTAATTGTAGGTGTTTGTGATAGACAGCTAGGCAAATCTATGTTGACGTATATGTGAATCGTGACTAAGCAGAGGCGAGGCTCAGACTTGAAAGGTGCTTTTTATGAGAGGGCAGTCTGATAACTTTTAGAACTAACGACAATGATATTAAGCATCAGTTTATAGAGTCTAATTCCATTCGTATGTGGAGTTTGATCTTATATACCTCGCAGCAGAATGATCTCTTATAAAATTATTGAACTTGAGTTTTCTAGCAAATCTTTATTTACTCTGAATCAGAATTGACTTTCAGTTTGGGACTTGCTTATTGGAGTTAAAACTCTAGACTCCAAAATTGATGTAGACAAAGTCTTCAGTGGAATCAAGCCAGAGTTCGACATCCTCTCTAGACAACAGTTAAGCAAGCCAGGTACAGATCATCGTCTAGTCGTGCCGGGCCGTCCTAGACTCCAGCTTACTTATTCTGTTGTATTTTCGGGTGTGCGGCATCCGCGGCTCATTCGTTTATTTGTGGCCCGCTGTTTTAAGTCATGCGTGCATCCGTGCACGAAATTCAATTTGCTTGCGCTTTCATTCCGGTTTACCGCCTGCTTCGCATCCACTTTCAATGCATTTTGTTACTTTCTTTTTGTGTGCTTTTTTATTTCTTTTTATTTTCATTTTCGTTCAGGCCCGCGTCGGCTTTTTACGGGCTTGGCGTTTGCCGCTCAGCGCTATATGTCAATGTGATCCAACAGAAATCTCTTTATATATCATCTTCGTATACTCCTAATGAACCTATATATAGAGTCTTGAATTTGATATGGGAAATAACTAGAAAAACATATATAAAATATATGAAAAAATCTTCTCTTTCTGGTTTACCAAATATACTTATCTAAGCCTATAACACCCTCCTAGAGCTAATCTACCCTCCTTTTAACGTATTTTTGTGGATCAACCCATGTACAGAAAAAAAGTGAAAAGAAAAACGAATAAGCCAAACGAAATAATTTGTAGGCAAAGGACATGAACATGGACACGGACATGGATGCGGACATATGCAGCAGCAGCAGCAGGAGTAGGAGCTGCACTACCAGCAGTAGCTGTGGAGTAAGCCGTCTGGGCAATACATATGCCATCGAAATAAAACCGAAGCAGGGCTGGCTCCAGTTGCCAAGTGATGTCAGCGATTTATTTGATTTAATGCCAACTGGCGACGGCACAATGGACCCGACCTGCGAACCTGAACCACAGCCCGAACCCCAAGCTGAACCTGAACCTGAACCCAAGCCGGTAAAGGCAAACGAATCGACGGCGACGAAGAAGGTGCGGCCAACGGTTGATACGTTGTTAAAGCCAGACAAATGCAGGTGTCGCTATTGCAGCATGCAGGTGGTAAAGGTGAGGCGAATATTAAGTGATGGTGTGTGTGTGTGTGTGAGTGTGGAAACTATCTGTGTGAGGGAGGAGTGGCGTGTGGGTGTGTTTGATGTGCTGCCAGCTACTTGTTATTTGATTTACAAACATTTACAAACATTCGTATATTACTTCTACTACATCTACTTCCCACTCTTCTTCTTCTTCGTCTCTTTCGCAGCTGCACTTGGGTAAAATCAAGCGATTGGGCCAATATTGTCCATTGCATTTGTTCTCCGGGTAAGTTGAGCCGGGCTTAACACGCCTTTAAGTCATAAATTTTAATATGCTCCATTTGCGTGTCCTGTCGTGCTTCATAATTCCAACACCTTCAACTGGCTGAAGCTCCGAGGCAGCCTCACCTGTGTGCCTCTGGCGTGTTTTACCTGCAGGCAATTGAATGCCACTTTTTTCTCCTTTTTTCTTTGCGCTGCTCTGTTTCCGGCTTGAGCCTTTATAATATGGGTGCTCGACTGGTTTGTTTTCGCATACCCTAAGTGATAGTGAGTGTGGGCGTGGCAGAGGGTGGATTCGTTAATTGTAGGTGTTTGTGATAGACAGCTAGGCAAATCTATGTTGACGTATATGTGAATCGTGACTAAGCAGAGGCGAGGCTCAGACTTGAAAGGTGCTTTTTATGAGAGGGCAGTCTGATAACTTTTAGAACTAACGACAATGATATTAAGCATCAGTTTATAGAGTCTAATTCCATTCGTATGTGGAGTTTGATCTTATATACCTCGCAGCAGAATGATCTCTTATAAAATTATTGAACTTGAGTTTTCTAGCAAATCTTTATTTACTCTGAATCAGAATTGACTTTCAGTTTGGGACTTGCTTATTGGAGTTAAAACTCTAGACTCCAAAATTGATGTAGACAAAGTCTTCAGTGGAATCAAGCCAGAGTTCGACATCCTCTCTAGACAACAGTTAAGCAAGCCAGGTACAGATCATCGTCTAGTCGTGCCGGGCCGTCCTAGACTCCAGCTTACTTATTCTGTTGTATTTTCGGGTGTGCGGCATCCGCGGCTCATTCGTTTATTTGTGGCCCGCTGTTTTAAGTCATGCGTGCATCCGTGCACGAAATTCAATTTGCTTGCGCTTTCATTCCGGTTTACCGCCTGCTTCGCATCCACTTTCAATGCATTTTGTTACTTTCTTTTTGTGTGCTTTTTTATTTCTTTTTATTTTCATTTTCGTTCAGGCCCGCGTCGGCTTTTTACGGGCTTGGCGTTTGCCGCTCAGCGTACAAAAATTTACCACCCCTCGCGCAGCACTCAGCCCCTGCCCATTCGTACATACATATATTTATGGTTTAATAGTGTTATTTTATATATATTTATATATAGTATATATTTTTTCTTGTTTCTTCGCTTTTTTTTAGTGCTCCTGGTCGTATGCTCGATGCCTTGAATGCGCTTTTCGCTTGTCCGCAAAATAATTTACGTGTATTTCAGAGCGGGAATTTAATTTATGGCGATCACGCGAATTCGATTTCCTGCGAGCAGCTCCACACTCAACTCTTCCCAGGGTGAGCGCAGCATTTATATATATATATTTATATCAATATTAAGTGAATTGCATCTGTCTGAGTTTATCAGCCAAATGTGAATCAATCGGAATAGTTGAATATTTGCAGGAAATACGATTGTGCTGAAGCAGGTAGAGTCTGGCTTAAATTGTTGAGTTTTCCGCAAGATAAGAGCAATAGAAGTGCTTAATAGCTGTTAAAGAAGCGACGCTGTTAAGTTAACAGCACCTCAAATGTTAGGTAAGCTCGCTGTTAAGTAAACAGCACCTCAAATGTTAGGTAAGCTCGCTGTTATTATGAGTCCATATCTGTATGTATGTTTGAATACATACATGTATGTATGGATGGTGTACTCTTGAAAGTAGAAAGAATAGATTAGGATTTTTATATGGTTTACACATACATACACATTCTCTTCGACGTCTCTTCGAAACGTCAGCGTAAACAGACATTTCTTTGAATTTCACAATATCAACAATGAATTTCAGCATGAAAAGCAATTTCGTTTTTTTTATACAGAATACAAATATATATATTTCAGTAGAAGAAAGTATGTTTTAGTTCATATGTTTCGTAGAAAGCTTTTTATCAAGAAAATTTCAGTAAATACATATGAAATCTTTGCTGTAGAGGCCATGGATAATAAATTCTTGAAAATTTGTAAATAAATGTTTTAACAAGCTTTAAAGTTCTGTATAGATACGATTTCTATTTAGATTCCTTGTGCAAACTCTTTGGAGCTACAGTTAAATTTTTGTGAAATGAAATTTCATGGAATACTTTTTGCTTCAACTACAATCGATTGTAAGCAGCTCAAATATTTATCGTATACGCAGCATAAAATTTCCATGGAAGCCAAACAATTACGAAAACAAAAAAAAAAAAAAAAAAAAAAGAGAGAGAGACAAAAAATAGAATAGAGTAAAAATCTCAAAGCAATTGTTCGACATGCAAATATTCAATAAATAATGCTCAGACAGCAACAGCCAAACACACAAATTCTCGAATGCCAAACGCTAACACAGATATATATCTACCTCTTTCTCTCTCTCACGCTCTCTTTCGCTCGGTCTCTTTTGAACTCTTGCTATTGGCTATTATGTGCTTGTTCCACTCATTTCAACACCTTTTTTTTTTTTTTTGGCAACACGTTGACAACAAAATTGGAATCTGCATTGAAACCGAAAATGCTTTACCAATACGCATCGCCCGTATATACCCAATGCCCAATGCTATGGTCATAAAATCTGTTGAAATTCTCTAGTGAAATTATGGCGCTTATAAAACATTTGTTGGTCGCCTGCCTGCTTAGGGAATACAGCCAGGAGGAGAAGGAAGAGGAGCAGCAGGAGCAGGCAGCGAATGAAAGCCACAGCCACGTGGCTGCTGCTGCTGCTGCTGCTGCTGCATTTGGGAAATCGACATTCAAACGTTGTGGCATGAAGACAAAGCCAACCGAAACTATAGAAATTGGCAGGGCAAAGCACGTAGAGAACCAGCAGTACCTGGAGCAGGAGCAGCCGAGGGAGGAGGCGAGCATAGTTGACTTTGTCAAAGCTGTTGGTGGTCAGCCGCAGCGGCGAGCAGCAGCTGCTGAAACAGCCAGCCCAAGGTACACAAAGCGTACCAAAATGACAACAACAGCAAAGGCAATACAAACAGCAACAACAACAACAACAACAGCAACAACAATGCCAGCGAATGTGGCAACACGAATAGCAATGGAAACGGAAACGGAAGCGGAAACAACGTCGACAGCGTTGGCTACTCTGAACCCAGCGCCGCAACTTGTCGCGTCTCCCCTGGCGCCCTGCGAGACTCAAGCAGGGATCAGCCAGGCGGAAATATTTCACTTACCCAAAAATTGTGTTTTGCAAAAAATTTTGCATTTGCAATTGTTGGTCAAGGTAGGTAAAAGGTGTAAAAGTTGTAAGAGGAAGCAGCACTGCACACTGTGGGTAGTGGGCTATCAGCGATTTTTGTTTATTTTTATAGGGGCTGGATAAGGAGTGAAGGGGGGAGAGGGTGGAGGTAGGTCGTATAAAACAGCGCTTTAATAGCTATCAACTGATGGAATACCCTAGCAAAAAGGGTATTGATCAATTGGTCGGGGGGGAACATGACAAAGTTTGGGTAAAGACAAAAAATTGATGAGGGAAAGAAAATGGTATTTTTTTTTTTTTGGACAAAGCGCCTGACTAAAAAATACCTCTCATTTATACAGGTGAGCAGGAGCTTAGTATGTGTTAAGGTAAGTCGACGTGGTTTTGGTTTGAGTGGATGACGGATAGTTGGAAACATATTCATGGCAATGTACTAGAAGAGGAAGAAGACTATTAAATATATATTTTAATAATCTTTGAAATGGGGTATATATTCTATTAGAGAAGTTGATTCAAGAGCTTAAAGTTGCACGAGAATTTCATGGCCTGAGTTCCCTCTTGGTCTGGCTGCACCACTACATAACAGGGTATTAGCCAGTCGATCACTGCTCAGCACACTTTTTTCTGTTGCCGCCGCTGTTCAAGTGCAACTGCATTGAGCTTCAGCTGGCTGATGGCTTCAACAATGCTTCAGGCGAGTGGCTGGCGCTAAAAAGGAATAAAATTGAAAGGGCAGCTAAACAGACAGCCGAATGGACAACAGACACTGGACACGTTATGGAGAGCGTCTTGTGGGACTTGCGCTCACTGCTCACTGCTCGCTGCTCACTGCTCGCTGCTCACTGCTCAGTTGGATGGCGGCCAAGTGGCTGAAAGACTTTTGGGTTCGACTGTCGTTGGCTGTCTAACGTCTTCTCCTTTTGGCCATTTGCAGCGACATTTTCATTATATGTGGGCGCAAGGATATGCCCGGCAGGGCACGCCCAGCTACAAGGCGCTGCGGGCACTGCTCGCCAGCTGTCAGCAGGACAATGTGCAGGAGCTGGCAGCCGAGCAGGCTTATATGCTGGGCGCCACGGCGCTCGATTGCTCCATAATGCTGACATTTCAGGAAGTGCAATGTCAGGCGAAGCATCACAGGTGAGTGACTGAGACACACACACACACACATACTTTCTCGCAACTAATCAGTGCTCACTTCTCTTTCAGTGCTTTGCAGCCTTGGCTCATTTCGCTGCAGGGTCGTCAATTTCTGACCAAGCTGAGCGTTTTAGATCTGGATCCCAAGCCCGACAGCCATTTTCACAAATATATAAAGCAAACGCGTCAGATTGAAAAGTTTTGCGGCGCATTAAATTAATTAATAAAGTCGCGACGCGACGCGAAACTAAACCCAAAATCATTAACAAATTCGCAGCGCACAAAACTGTGCTACACTTTTTGTTCACTGGCTAAATGAGGAAATTCCTTGTGCCTTTTGTTGTGGAGACTGATTGTAATTATGACTGGGGGCGTATTGTGTCAACAGAGAGGTGAGCAGTGTTTTATATTTGTAAGGTAATTATATAAATAAATTATCGAGTGGATAGCCAATGGAATGAAGACTGTGAATGTAGCTATACTGACTTAAGTCTCTTAGCTTGTGATAGATGCCTTACGAATGTATCTAAGGCTATTTCATAGTCTATTATACCAAGAATTCTGGGTTGACGTTTTCAGATTACGATATATGTTGCTTTATCATGATCAGAGTTTAGTTTATATATTAAAATATATATTTATTTAATAAAATTGTATACCTATATATTAAGCTACGACTGGCCCATAGATTAAATTGTTTATCAATCAATCAATCAATTTTTGTGTCTATGGATATATTTTTTAAATTATAGATCTATCTATTGATGTGTGTATCTATATGAACCGATTTATAGACAGATATTGATGTATGTACGATTGGATCCATCTATCGATATATATTTTTCAGTATATATCAACCAATCAATCTGTCTATCTGTCAATCTAGACATATTAATAAATAGATATCGATATATCTATTGTTTGAGCTAACTATCTTTTAATTGATCCATATATTATCTGTCTATCAAACAATCTATCTATGCATATCTTTCCCTCTCTGTCTTTTTGTCTCTCTATCTCTCTCTCTTTCTCTCAGTCTATCCGTTGCAGTCTTTCATCCCGTGAGCCACTCAGCTTAATCATAGTTTCCCTGCAAGCTCTACTCTATCTATCTATCTATCTGTCTATCTCTCTATCTATTCCTAGGGCATTTCATATTCCGCCCAGGCAGCTGGTCGCATAAGCGTAACTGGTTTTTGCTGTTAGCCTTTTTGGCGCGCCCCTCGCCCATGTCGCTGTCAAACTAACCGCAGGCGAGGCAGCCGCTACAGCAAAAGCAAAAGCAACAGCAACAGCCACAGAAGCAACAAAGGCAAAAACAAAGAAAAATGAAAGCAAAAAACGTAGCTGGCACACCGTGAACACTCCTTAATTAATTTCCATGCGAATGCGGTCAGGACAAGCTGGAGCCACGCGCTGCTGTCGCTGCAAAAGGCGCCGCAGGATGTGTTTTGGCGCTGCCCATCGACCCGCACAGCCTGATCCCAGTTTAACGTTGTTTCATGCAAAGTTGTTGTCCTGTCCTGTCCTGTCCTGGCCTGGCCTCGCCTGGCCCTGGCTTGGCTTGGCTTGGCGCTGCGCTGTTTTGTCAGTCGCTCAGCGTTAGCAGAGGCCAGCAGTTGGTTTTGCCTAGCCTTATCCCGTCCAGCCACAAAATGGGCAACAAAATTGTGACATTCACCGAACAGCAATTGGATGACTATCAGGTGCGTGTGTGTGTGTGTGTGCGTTCCTTAAAGAGCAGCTAAATCATGTAGAAAACTTAAATATTCCATGCGCCAATCCAGGATTGCACGTTCTTTACACGCAAGGAGATATTGCGGTATGTATTTATATGACAGCACGGGGCGTATACGCAATTTGCTGCCATGTTGAAAATATAATAATAAGCGAAACTATTTTGCGTTCCATTGTTTGGCGCAACCTTTTGTTGGGTGTGTACACACACACACACACACACACACACAGAGCACACATACACAAAAGCCTTTCATCAGCTTGCTTTACTCCTTTACCCTCTCTGCCCTCCCCGTCGCCCTTCCAGCGTGCATAAACGCTTTCGTGAGCTGCGGCCGGATTTGGTGCCACGCCAAATGACCGAGGGTCAGGCATCGAGTGTCAAGGTTCCACGCGAATGCATTGAGAAGATGCCCGAGTTGCGTGAGAATCCATTTCGGCGACGTATCTGTGAGTACAACAACAACAACAACGACCAGCTTCAACAACAATTTCCTCATTCACATTTATAAGCAGCAGAGAAAAAAAATATATAAAAATATTTTTGTTTTGTTCTGTTTGCTCTTTTTTTATTTTTTTTTTTTTTGGTCAACGCCCAACTGTGCCCCTGGCACGCCCACTTGGCAGGCGAGGCCTTCTCACGCGATGGCCTGGGCAATTTATCCTTTGAGGACTTTTTGGATGCTTTATCCGTGTTTAGCGAGCAGGCGCCGAGAGATATTAAAGTGTTTTACGCTTTCAAAATTTATGGTAAGTTTCCTCATTATACTTTGTGCATGCATATGGGGGCAAAATGGGGTATATTGGTTGGTTGGCTGCTGATGATTGTTCCAGAAAGAATAAACTTTATGTATACTAATAGCTCGAGTATATACTATGTATATACATATACATATGTGGGGATATACGAGTTAATCTACAACTGCTCAACTATATGGGAACTGACTATTCCAGTAAATACTTTTTTTTAATTATAGAAATCCCCTATGATGTTTCTTGGCAAATGCGTTATAAATGTTAAAAACTATAAAAGTTCTATTGGGTATGCGATGTCTCATTGCAATATAAACTATGCAGACTCAAGGATTTGTATAGTTACCTCCAAGTTCGTCTATTGTCTTGAGGGAAGTTCATGCATATATATAGTGAACTCCTGCTGTAGTATCATCAACTTGAACTTTAAATTCTCTGCTAAATTCTCTGTTATACACATTACTCACAAATATATCTCATTCTCTCTCATTCTCTCCTAATTCGCTTTGTCTGTTGACCCTTTCCTTGAGAATTGCCAGAGCAGCCCGAGCTTCTACAAGTGCGTGATATGGAATATATAATACATTGAGAAATTTCAAATTTAATATTTTGATTCGTATTGTATTATAATATTTTTAGTACTATGAACTCTTAATTTGCCTATTATCTATAAGAAGGCTTTCGTGTATGACTCTGAATAACTCTAGGACCTATAGATATAATTTTTTGAATGTGAGTTAGTATATATAAATTGAATTAATATACATAGTATATATAATCTTTCAGCTCATATATGGAAGAGCGACTCTTAAAGCTTTTAATCAGGGTATTTATCTGCTGCTGAATTTCGTGTTGTTGGCTGTGCGGTGCACACTTTTGGCCATGTTCTAGGCCAGAACGTTTGCGGGCTTTGTTTATGCATTTGCGGGCTGTCGCCACACGCGCTATACCTCTTTCTCTCTCGCACTCCCTTTCCCTCTCCCTCTCTCTTGCTGGTATTTATATGGTAAGGCCAAGGCATTTGCCTAGTCGCGCGCCTCAATTATTTGTGGCTCAGCTCCAAAAATTCCAACTGCAGCCAGCGCACCGTTGTTGTTGTTGTTGTTCTTGTTGTTGTTGTTGCCTGGCCGAGTTCAAGGCCAGTCATAAATTCTAATAAGCATTTTAATTGAAATTTAAATGAGAATGTGAAAAATGTCGCGCTTTCACTTGGCAAATTGATTTTACAACTTTTCTGAATTTACGAGACAGAGAGAGAGAGAGGGAGAGAGGGGGTTAGACAGAGAAAGCTGAGGCAAATAAACTGTGCAGCAATTAAATGGCACAGTGTACACTGTGCAACACAGGCAAATATATATTAGTTTCTCTCATATGCTCGCTGTAAATTGAATTGGGAATTGAATCAACAGAATCAAAAGCAGAAAAACAAATGCAAATTGAATGAAAGAAACTGAAAAAAAAAAACTATTAAATAATTGCATAAAGCAAACACAGAGAGAGAAGGATAGAGAGAGAGAGGGAGAGAGAGGAAACGAGTACAGTAACAATTTTAAATGAATAATTGTTGTGAATAAGCAAATAGTTTAGTCTCTGTTACAAATTGAATCAAATTGAATTAGATGCGGTTCATGGCTGCCTTTATAGATAGATATAGAGAGTAATAACAAAAGAAGTCATTTAGCAGGAGTTGGCCGACAGCTGAACTGAAGCTAATTGGGCAGCAGGAAGCTGGCGCAAACTTGTGTCTAATTGATTGTTCGAATTTCATTTGTTTATTGACTTGAACTAAAATGCAAACTATCAAAATATATGCAGTAATTCACACTATGTTCACAGCTTGTCTGGTGTGTAGGTATTTCAGTCATTAATGGAATTCGCTGTCGACTTCAGGCTCATCCTTAATGACAATAAATTCGAATCTCAAATCGAGATTCCTGAGCTTATTGTGATTCTTAAGTCAGCTTCAATTAGATTTAAACAATTTGCTTAATTGACTTATTATTATTATTTATTGCCTAAGTATTTCAATGTCTCATAAATTTGCTATTCATGCGATTATCCTGCACATCCTTTCGACTTCTTTAGGTCCATGCTTAATATGTGTTAGGAAAATGGAGTTGATTCTCGTTTCGAATGCGTTGGATTATTAGATTGACACAAATTCGAGCCATGCAACACGCGCGCAGCACACAGACACTCACAAGTCTCTGTGTGTGTGTGTTAGCATATGTTAGTGTGTTTGTTAGCTCCTAACTTAGTTTTGCACACATCAATTCACTTTTATATGCATAAAAATGTCAGACATGATAAGCAGCCTGAGCTGTGAGTAAGCAAGCGTTGCAAACGGATTTAACCGACTGCATAATACTCTTGTGGTGGACAAAATTAAGCATAAGGAATACGGCTTCGGCCTTTACATAGCTGAATATAGATTCGAATGATCTATATGCCTATTCATTTTATATTTCTTATATCTAGCCCATTTCGAAAATTCCATTTTGCCACGCCTTATTCTATCAGCTCAGGATATATACGATTATACATACTGAATTACCAGTCTCTAACTTACAATGGATAAGCAGACTCTTGTAATGCTAGAACCAATATACTCTTTAGAATTATGAGCAAGTATAAATACAAATATAAAAGTGCATGCTCTCACGCACACTACTTAAAATTCATGCACACGACGGAGCTAGCAATAAACTAATATACTCTTTCTGTCACTGCATGAATGCATATAAAATAGATAAATAAGCTAGCACGAGCACACATAGACACACACACACATCTACACATACCCACACGCTCACAGAGAGAGAGAAATGGACTGGAAACGGAAGCTAATATACCCTCAAGACAGAGTACGTGAGCGAGTATACGCCAGCAACCACACTACACTACACCTCTCGCTCACTCCAACACACACACTCAGAGATGCGGATACACAAAATTGTTAAACCCTCTTTATAGTTTCCGAGAGGGTATACGAAAGGGGAATACATATACAAACATAAAGGGTCTGCACCTTGAGCATCTCACAAAACTAATATACTCCGATTGCACTCATCGCGAATGAGTATGCCTGGTATACCAGAAGGAGCATTCGCACACCTACTGTCTCTCTCTCTCTCTCTCGTTCTCTCTTTCTCTTGCACACAATTTGCATAGTTGTTTGCACACATCTTACTTATGTCTGTCTGCTGATGACTTTGCAGATTTCGATCAGGATGGTTTCATTGGGCACGCCGACCTGATGTCCTGCCTGACGACGATGACCAAGAACGAGCTCAGTCCCGAGGAGCATCAACAGATTGCCGACAAGGTAATCGAGGAAGCGGACGTCGATGGCGATGGCAAGCTGTCCATATTGGAGTTCGAGCATGTCATCTTGCGGGCGCCAGACTTTCTATCCACCTTCCACATACGCATCTAGATGTTGCAAGTTGCTATTGCTGCAGTTGTTGTTGCTGTTGCAAGTTGTTGTTGTTGTCTGCCACATCACATAAAAATGCCATCAGCGTGATTAAGTCTCGGCCAACCCGGGATCCAGGATCTGGCCAATTGTCGTGACAATGTGCATGTCAAATGTCACCCAGCTGCAGTTGTTATAAAATTTATAAGCCAACTATGTGTGTGCGTGAGGTGTGTGTGTGTGTGTCATGAGGTGCACGTCAGCGATACCCTATAATGTAAACATATATTAATGCCTGAAGTAATAAAGTTGCTTAAACCTAGAAATTATATCTATTTACATACATATATACATACAAGGTACTCAAAGGCTATTACAAGGCTTAAATGTGGACGCACTAGATACCCTGTAAAGTAAAAATATATTTATTAAATAAGAACATCAAGTTATAATGATTAAATATATACATATGAACTACCCCAAAAAAAGGGTAATACTTATGACTGACAATTAAGCACTTTGGGCTGCAGAGATACCCTGTAGAGAGTGATATTAATGGAAATCGTATTAGAAGACAAAAGGCTTCTTCAAATTATAAATGTATTATTTATTTGAAAGTGGAAATTAAATGGAAATAATCTGGATTATGAACGTGCAAGATACCCTGCAAAAGAGATCTAAAATTTAAAGCAAATGCTCCAATAAAATGGAATAATCAACGTAAGCCATGACAGCAACAAATTGGGGCGATTAGCCATAGAGGCGATGTTAATTAGAAATAATAAATATGTCTATGAAAGTGTCGTGGCCATAAGTGAGATACCCTGTAATACTGATTAACAACAGCAAGCGCTTTGAATATAATATAAAATCAATAAGATTAGTCAGGCTTTAAAGTTAGAAATTTTAGTTATCAAAATGTAAGTTTGAGAAAATCAAAGTAACAGGGCGCGTGAGATACCCTGTAAATGTTAATGCCTTTGATAACCATAGGTAAAAGCTGAGAAGCATATATTATAAGCACGCTAGATGCCCTGTAAGACATATGAAAGTTTAAATAAACTAAAACCATCCGTAGACCTTCATTGCAATATACCACACAGCAATGGGCATTATACAGGGTATATGGCAGATGCAACCACAGCGGCCGTAAACATGCAATGAAACTGTTACTGTTGTTGTCGTCGTTGTTGTTGTTGTCGTTGTTGTTGCTGCTGTCTCTGCAGTTAACCTCAATAATGGAAAGCAGTCAATGGCATGAAATGGAGATTTGGACAACAGCAGAGGTCACATACGTGCATGTGTTTGTGTGTGCGCCCCTCTCCCTCTCTCTCTCTCTCTCTATGTGTGTGTACGCGCGTTGTCAAAGTTTTATCAATTTGCCAGTTTGAGCTTAAAGTAGTTTGTGGCAAAATGAAACGCGTGCTGAACTGTTCTCATATCCTGGAGCCTATTGGAAGTGGCTTAAGGGTATATCGTTTTTAAAAATGTGTATGCAACAGAGAGACAAAAGGTATGAGAGTATACGTACATATATTTGAGGGTATATATATGCTCTTGAGTAGAATCAATAGAAAGGTGTTAGACCTAAAAATTTTACATCTCAGTTGAAATATGTATGTCACATGATATTTATTTCAGCACTTCTGTATTTTCATTCTGAATTTTAATCACATTTCAGGGTATCTGCTAGTCATGCACTGCGGATTAGAACAGCCTCAGTTTTTCCTCTGTCCCACAATTATTGTAATTGGTGTTTTTTTCTTGATTCTTGTTTTATTTTTATGCAATTGGCAGTTAACGGTAAACCGATTGAGACCGTTAGCTAATTGCATTCACAGCATATTAATGGAATGTCATATGGCCGGACTTATATGCGAGGGTGGTCTGTGTAATTGCTTGACTAATACGGAACAAAATAAATTGATCAAAGGCTTGTTCTACCTCTTTGGATAACTCTCTCTCTCTCTTTCTCTCTCTCTCTCTCTCTCTTACTCTCTCTCTCTCTCTCTCTTACTCTCTCTCTCTCTCTCTCTCTCTCTGTTGCATATAAGTATATCAGAAATGAAACGGATCAATAGGGACAAGTTTTCAGGCCATCATATATCCATATCTCAGCTAATTAAATTGCATATCGAATACTTGTGAAACCACCCTCGTCAACAGGATCACAAATTCGCTTGTTACACGCAAATCAGTTTTTATTTTATTTCGACTGTTATTTAAATCACGTTCAATTCGCATTTTAATTTAGTTAAGTTTTAGTTCTCTATTCAATAATACGCATAATTTTACATACAATGTCTTTTACATATATAGTTTATATATTTTTTCATATATATATGTATATATATATAAATTGTTTTTTTTTTCTTATTTTTTTGTTGTCTTAAACATTAGAAGAAAGTCTATTACAAGTATTCCATAATTGTATTTATTTTATTATTTATATTTATATATCTATTAATGGACTCGTATTACGTATCATTCCAAAAATTAAACCATTTGGCTGTCATCTAAATTGTTTACTTTAGTTAATTGTGCATGTAAAACTGTACGCTTTGACTGACATTGAACTACATACATATATACATATATGTATGAATGTAAGAATATATATTATAGTTTACTATTGCATTTCGATCTAAACCATAAGCAGGGTATACAGAGCTCTATAGCTAGATGAACTAAAACAGTGAAATTTTGGATGCTATACACAAAAACAACAACACTTAAGTTTACAACTACTAAGCTTAACATCTATATAAGATATACATATATAAGACATATATATATAAGTATATATGTATAGTTGTATAGTTTGTATATATATATTATATATAAAGCAAAAATTATTGTGAGCCTTAAAGTTCGCGTATCTTGTTTTTTTTACATTTCATTTCGTATACTTTATGTATTTCATTAAAATTTTATTTTCATTTTTTTTTTTTCATATATATTTTTTTCTAATAATTAATTCGTTGAGCTCTACTTTTTTAAATATTTTTATATTTTGCTGCTTAATTCAATATTTTCAAAATACATTTAGTGGGTAAATATGTTTAAATTAGCTCAAGTTTCTCTCTCGTATACATTCGTTATAGTCTTTTTAATTTTAATATATTTATTTATAATTATTTTTATTATTATTATTATTATTATTTTTTTTTTTTTTTTTTTTCAATTTAAAACAAAAACACAAAAACGAAATTGTACAATTGGCTTTGAAAACTCTTTCGCTTGGCTCTCAAACTGTCGGTGTGTGGGTGCGTACAGTCGCTTCAAAAGTCGTGCGTGCCGCAATTGGAAAAACCGTAATCCGAAAAGCTTTCAAAGCTCTTCAACAAATTTCAGTAGACCGAATTATGATGCTCGTAGTTGTTGTGTGCGGCCGCTGCGTGGTGTAAATACGAGGGTATTGCCGTTGCATTTAGTTCCGATGCGCGCCGCCGCAGCGCTGCAATGCTGTGACCACGCCAAACATCCTCGTCGGTGGCGCCATCTGGCGACTGCATGGCCTGATGGCAGTGCGGCAGCAAATTTGAGCTATCCTGTTGCTGTTGCTGCTGCTGTTGTTGTTGCTGCTGCTGTTGCTGTTGTTGATGTTGTTGTTGTTGCTGCTGCTGCTGCTGTTGCTGTGTTGGTGTACCCGACTGCTGTTGGTGTGTGAGACTCTGTTGGTGTGCTTGCTGTTGTTGCTGTTGCTGCTGTTGTTGCTGTGGTTGGTGTGACTGCTGCTGCTGCTGCTGCTGTTGGTGAAGTGGCTGTGGAATAGGAATACAGAGTGTTAAGTTTAACAGCGCTGTTAGCTGGTGCTTGGTTTGTGTCTTCGCTACTTACCATTGCCTCGTTGTTGAGTTCATTTTGATTGGGCTGCGCTGCCAGCGGCGGCGGCGGCGTCACCGACGAACAGCTGTTCATGTTGGGCGGTGTTGTGGCGCTCGGGGAGCCGCCCGGCCCACAGCTCACCCCCCCGCCCACACCATGCTGATACATCATCGAGTCGCCTGTGCAGGTGGGAAAGAGTCGAAACGAGTTCAATTAATGCCTGAAAATTGTAACACTACGGAACAAAAAACCTGTCTCCAAAAACCTAATTAGCACACCTATACGAAAACAAACAAAACTCAAAATTCAAGCAGAAGCAGAGCTAAAAATCATGCCTGCAGGCCATATCTGATAAATTAAGCGGCTGCCTGTTAATTGAGCCAGCAAATAAGTCGAAAAGGAAAAAATGCGTCAAGAGCTCTATAAATTAAACGTATGTGGCTTTTATTTACTTAACAAATTTATTTAAACAAAATGAAGAAGACGAGCAAGAAGAAGCGAGTTCAAAGAAATGAAAATTCGTGTTTTGACAATTTGTGAACAACATACAAAAACAAGGAGAAAAAAAAATGTCAAATGGAAAGTTTTTTTTTTTTTTTTTTTTTATTCATGTGATTTTAATTAGGGGTAGAGGGTTGCACCTACCCAAAGCATTCAAGCCATAGTGCTGATAGGTGCCGGCACCCAGAGCTGAGCCCATGTTTATGCCCGAATTGAGGCCGCTGTTCAGCGAAGTCGTTTGATTCAGCTGACCAAAGCCTTGGCATCACAATTTATACACGCACATATAAATAGCAGTTGGTTAGTCATCGAGTTAGTTAGTTAGAGCGGCTCCACTATCCTTCAGCTAGTGCTCACTCACCTGCCGTCATGGGGTTGACGCCCACGCTCCAGCGATCCCCGCCGAACATCCCGGTGCCGCAGAGGCCATCGCTCATGGCAATGTTTGTGATGTTCGCCCCGAACGGCGGCAGCCCGTGCGACGGCAGCAGAGCGCCTGGCGTGCGGAACACATTCGTGGTCTTCTTGCGCTTCTTCCACTTGGCGCGACGGTTCTGGAACCAGACCTGAAATTGAGAGAACATTCAGTTTAATGAAGTTTGCCTAGGGGTGGATGTTGGAGTAGAGACTTGAATAATGCCTCAAAATCTTGAGTGAGCTGATGAAAGGGGAATGGAATATAAGAAATTAGAGGGAATATTAGACTAAGAAAGAGAGCGAGAGAGAGAGAGAGTGTGTGATTGAGTGCTGAGCTAGTAGAGATCATGATTTTGTTACTCTAAGACTATTTCAGACAAACTCTTTACTGACTTTAAACAGAAGTGCTGGTTAATGATATTTTTGTAATGAAATTTCTTTGATTTACTTAGATAAGCTTAAGTACAGAGTAGTTTAACTATGCCTGCAAAATTTTTAAAAATTATAAACTCTTTTCCTTATTTTTAGATTTTTGGAAAGAAAAACGAAATTGAAAATGAAGAGACGAGAGTGAACCTCTCTATTGTCGCTTATC